TGTGGAACAGCCTCTCAAATGGAGAACTTTCCATACCTGCTGAAACCTGTCTTACCCACGTGTAAGAATATGCGTTCAGCGATTCGGCCCAGAACTCTTGGGGCAAATGTGAACTTAGCAGTTGGGCTTTCATGCCTTTCTGCAATTCTGTGTTCACCTTCACACACACACTCTTGTTCCATGAAGCTTCAGAGACAGCAATCTTATGATCTATCTCATGTTTCTCAAGGAAATCTTGAAAATCCTGTGAAACAAAAATTGGCTTTTCATCTGTGAAAAGACTTTCAACATTAGCATCATGAACAAATTTAACCTTATCACAAAACTCTCTGAACTTTGCTAAGGTTTCCTGTGGTGTCTGCAGCACGTGAATCCACACATACTGAGAAAAATGATCAACAATTACAAGATAGAACTTTGCTTTGCCTCTAGAGGGCAGTAGAGGACCAATTACGCCAGCATACACCCGCTGAAATATCTTGGTAACCTTCGTGGATGTCTTCTCCTTGGGACCTGTGGTAGAACCTGTAAAAGAAGACATCTTAGTTTCACAAGCATTACAATCATTGCAATCAAAACACAACAGATACAAGCCATCTTTCTCTTTGGCAGAAAGATACAGCTTTCCGTCCTTGAAGATCTTGCATCTCTTCTCATCATAGGATATCACCAATCCTTTCTTTGTCATCTGAGATACGCTCAGCAAGTTGAATTTTAAACCTGGGACAAAGTAAACGTTGTTTATAGTCAAATTCAGACTCTCCAGAAATACAGTCCCGAATCCAGTTGCTTCCATCTCCTGACCATTGGCCTGTTTCACAGTGAAGCGTTGATCCTGAAATGTAGAGAATAAACTCTGCCGTCCTGTCAGGTGCTCTGTGGCTCCAGCGTCTATTACAAACGCATTCTCAACCGATGATGAAGCCTTTGGCGACATCAATGCCTTGGCTGGTCTCGCCTGTGACTTGGCACGACTCTTGCCTGTAGCCTCTGGCTTTCCTGAGCTCCCCTTGGCTCCTTTTGAAACACGGCTCTTTTTACAGTTCTTCTGTACATGCCCAGCCTGACCACAATTGTAGCATCGAATGACGTTTAGGGCTACAGCCTGCTCCTCTTGAGCAACAACAGTGGGTGAAGTACTGGCAGATGCAGCTTCACTCACCCCATCAGCAACAGCCATTGCAGCCAGTCTGTCATTCTCATTAAGCAAAACAGCACAAATGCGTTGCACCGTCAGATCTGCAGCAGGTAGCGATCCCAGCTGACTCACAACCATCTTGAATCTCTGATCCAAGCTGTTTATGATCATAAAACAAAAAATTGACTCATCAAGTGGAAAATTCCTCTGCGCCATCTGCTGGCGAAGATATTGCATCTGCGTCAGATGCGCTTGAATATCCCCATCAGGCTTCAGTCTCAAGTTTGTGAGCTTCTCAAAATGCAGCAGCGCAGTCCCAGCTGCCTCACGCAAATGAATACGTCGTAAAGCAAGCCACATGTCCCTTGCGTATTCCAAACCTGAAATATGCACCAGTTGATCGTCCCCTACATACAAGATGATTGCAGACCTTGCCTGCATGTTAGAGTCATTCCAGGCCCTTGTTGGTGCAGCAGGAATGGGATTTCGAATTACTCCAAATATTCTCTGTCTCTCGAGCAGGGCTTGCAGTTTCAGAGACCAGGAAGAATAATTGCCATCTGATAACGGCGGAGGGTAGGGCAGCCCCGTCCCCGGTTTGGCATCCATCTTGAGCCCACTTAACAGCTATCAACCACTAGCTGTAAATCCTTGGCAGCAAGCAAGCTGTAAATTCCAACAGCCTTTGAGCCTTAACTGCTCAACTCCGGCTTGTGTCCTCTGCCTTTGATGCTTAACGAGCCCATAAATCAGCACAGAGTACTCACAGTTCCTTGGTGGTTACCGGCTCCCCCCCGGAATGCAGGAACTTTACTTTCGCCGTGTTTTAATCCAAAAAACAAACAGCAGGAAAACAGCTGAACTTCGATGAACCGGAGAATCCTTCAATCCGCATTCAACAGGCAGCAATCCATCAGGAACTGTCAGAGGTCGATGGATCGAAACCATCCTCTGCTGCCACTTGTTGGAAACTGGCCCCCTCGGGAAAGGCTGACTCCTCTTCCCAGGCACTGGGGCCTGTTACCAGTGATCCTCCATGGCTGGTCTTCGGTCAGACCAGGGAGATCTTCAATGAGTGACACCTCCCTCTTGAGAGATGCACACTCCCTTCCCTTTTGCATGCCAGCAGTACTCCTGCTGCCATCCTGCTTTGCTCATGTACATATAGCTGAAAAGGTTTTTCTGGACTGGGCAAACCTAAAGCTGGGGCTGACAGTAGCTTCCTTTTGAGCTGGTTGAAAGCTGTCCTCTGGTCCGGGCCACACACGAAGGTGTCCCGTTCTCCTCCTCTGGTGCTCTCACCTGGTGCTATGTGCTGTCACGAATCAGATTTTCTTCTTTTTTTTAATGTGTATAACCTCAAATTAATTTCTAAAGATTTTTTTGTTCAAAATTGGGTGCAGGAGAATTTTTTGAAAATTTTGATTTTTGATCGATTTAGGCTAATGCAATTTCTGCGTCAGTTTAGAAAAAACCACCTGTTTCACTTATTTTTCAACCGATTGGCTTATTTTGGTATCAAAATAAAGCTAATTGTGGTCTCTTTCAAAATAAGGTATAAAAATGGTATTAAGTGCCACAGAAAATGGTCACCAACCATTCAAAGTGAATTTTTGTCATTTTATTCCTGGTAGGTTCAATAAGCCATAGTGCGCAAACCACAACTAACACGTGTATCATACTTTTGTTGTAGAATGGGCTAACCATGTACTTGTTAGGTTGTAAAAATAAGGAGTGTGTTTTTTGTGGTTATAAAAGAAATTGATTTTGAAGTAATTTTTTTTACAAAATTTCAAAACTTTTTTTTGGACAGGTTTTTTTTCTTCTTTGGCAATCACTCGTAGCCAAGTAAGATTGTCTTCCATAAACATGGTTTTAACAATGAGTCTGTAAGTGACTGTAGAGGCCAATTATGGATCCACATGTCTTTCCACAGTGGGGACATTGGTTTCTGGGCGGGAGTTGATCACAGTGTGGATTTGCCAAGCGTGCCTTCCCCTTAAGACGTTTCTCCTTTGTGTCCTGAGTTCGAGTGTCTTCAAAGCCCATGACACCTTTGGTAAAGGCTGTTCTCCAACTGGAGCGCTCAAGGGCCAGTGTTTCCCAGTTGTCAGTGTTTATAATACATTTTTAAAGATTTGCCTTGAGACAGTCTTTAAACCTCTTTTGTTGACCACCAGCATTACGCTTTCCATTTTAAAGTTCGGAATAGAATAGTTGCTTTGGAAGACAAACATCAGGCATCCGTACAACATGAACAGTCCAACGAAGTTGATGTTGAGGAATTATTGCTTCAACACTGGTGATCTTTGCTTCTTCCAGTACACTGATATTAGTTTGCCTGTCTTCCAAAGTGATGTGTAAATTTTTTCGGAGACACCGTTGATGGAATCTTTCAAGGAGTTGGAGATGGCGTTTATAAGTGGTCCATGTTTCACAAGCATACAGTAAGGTTGGTAGTAAACAAGCATGCTTTGTAAACAAGCATTTTAGTTTCCCTGTGAATGTCCCAGTCCTCAAACACTCTGCACTTCAATTGGGAGAAAGCCGCACTCACAGAGCTCAGGCGATGCTGGATTTCGGCATCAATGTTGGCCCTTGTGGAAAGATAACTGCCTAGGTAGGAGAAGTGGTTGACATTTTTGAACGTTACACCATTGAGTTGGATTTGTGATGCTGCAGAGGGGTTGTTTTTTACTTGTTGGTGCAGCACTTTGGTTTTTTGGATGTTGAATGATAGGCCAAGCTTTTCGTAAGCTTCTGCAAATATATTTAGGATGGTTTGGAGGTCATCCTCTGAGCGTTCGCACACTACGTTGTCATCAGCATACAGAAACTCTATGACAGAAGTTACGGTAACCTTACTCTTTGCTTTCAGCCTGCTCAGATTGAAGAGCTTTCCATCTGTTTGATATATGATTTCTACTCTGGTGGGGAGTTTCCCTTCGAAAAAGTGTAGGATCATGGCAATGAAAATAATGAATAGAGTTGGGGCAATAACACAACCCTGTTTAACACCTGATCCCACTGTGAATGGTTTACTCTGAGAGCCATTGTTATCTGTGACTGTTGCTGTCATGTTATCATGGAGGAGCTGAATGATGTTTACAAATTTATCTGGGCAGCCAATTTTCAGAAGGACAGTCCACAGGGCATTACGATTTACAGTGTCAAAAGCCTTAGTCAGGTCAATAAACGCCATATACAGGGGTTGGTTTTGCTCTCTGCATTTTTCTTGAAGCTGTCGAGCAGTGAAAATCATATCCATTGTCCCCCTAGAAGGCTGAAAACCATTTTGGGATTCAGGAAGGGTCACCTCGGATATTGTTGAGACACGGTTTGCTAAGATCCTTGCAAGAATTTTTCCGGCTGCAGCTAATAGAGAGATGCCTCGATAGTTTCTGCAATCAGTTCTGTCACCTTTTTTAAAGAGATTGATAATTTTTGGCATCCCTAAAGTCTGCTGGGATCTCTTCTCTTTCCCAGATTTTTTCGATGAGCTGTTTTTGTTGTGTAAGTTCAATTCCGCCCACTTCGAAGTTTTCGGCAGGTATCCCATCAGGTCCACTGGCTTTGTTGTTTTTCATTTGGTTAATAGCTGTACACAACTCTCCCAGATTTGGAGATACTGCAAGCTCATCTCTAACTTGTTTTTGTGGAATTTGTGAGAGGACCTCAGCAGCTACGGAAGAGTTGTGGTTAAGGAGATGTTGTTAATGTTTTTTCCAGCACAGTGCAATAGCTTCCTTATCTTTTAGAAGTGTGATACTGTCTGCTGAGCGTAGGGGGCATATGCCATGATTTATTGCCCCATAGACGGTCTTTGTGGCTTTAAAGAAACTCTGTGAATCATGAGTGTCGGCTAAGTGCTGGATCTCTTGAGGGGTTTTTTTATCCACCAGGTGTTTTTTAGTTCTCTGGGTCTTCTTTGAACCTCAGCCTTAGCGTTGGCATAGGTTTTTTTCTTCGTGGCACAGTTTCTATCTCTTTGCCAGATCTGAAAGGCCTTCCTTTTCTTGTCAGTCATGCGTTCAATCTCACTGTCATTCTCATCAAACCAGTCCTGGTGTTTCTTGGTTTGGTATCCAATAGTTTGTTCACAGTCTGCAATAATGGATGTTTTTAGCTTGGTCCAGTGTTCCTCAATGTTATCAGGGAATTCTGAAAGCAGATGGTCCTTAAGAGTCATTTGGAAGCAATCCCACTTAATGGGATCTTGAAGGGCTTGAGTGTTCATTTTGCGCCTTGGTTTCCTTCCTTGAAGCCTGCGTTGAGGTATAATCTTGATAGCCATCGTGGAGTGTAATAATAATAATAATAATTTATTACGGCCGTAGGCCCATACAGATAAAAACAAGACATAAATAACAACCTGTGCACATGGGAAAAAACAGCCACTAAAACACTACTATAACAATAAACTACTATAAGATGGAATGGCATACTACGCCTTAATTAGCTTGTGGTGCTCCTTGGCAACGCTTTTGAGTAAGGACAGCGACCAGGAACCTAGCCACTTTCAGGGTCGTATGGGTATCCTTATCCTGCAAGATTTGGGCAAGGTGGAATTTTGGTGGAGTACCCTCTAATTTCTGTATGATTGATCCCAACAAATTTGCCCGTGGCACCTTGAATAAGGGGCAAGTGAACATAATGTGCTGAAGCGACTCCGGCATCTCCTTATCACATTCGCACATGGCGGAGGTTTGGCCCTTTGAGAATCTATGTCTCAGGGCATTGGAGGGAAAAACATTAAACCTCGCTTTGGTGAAGGCCAGCCTATGGGCAACAGTCGAAAGGGAGGAGAGGTATGATGGAACGCAGTAAGTTAAAGTGATACCAATGTTCTGGGGCGAACAAACACCTCCCCCCAGCATATAATTTCGCTGTAAATCGATGTCATCCAGTCTTTGGCGGATCAGTCTTTGAGCAGTGGTTTGATCTAGTTTTAGGGAATCCAAGGGAGAGATTCCATAGCTCAGGAGTTTGGCATGAATTCTACTGGTCCAAAGGCTGGAGAATTCATCTCGCCATAAGCATTGGGCAAGGTAATGGTCTGGTAATCTATGCCACAATGATAACCAATAATTGAAGACTTGCTTCCACAGGCAAGTTTCTAAAGATGCGATCTTCAATTCTAGTCGCATGGCTGCGTTGCTTACGCACAGGGGAGCATTAGGAGCCGACGTAGGAATTGGTTTTGCAGAGTCTCAAGAGGAGCAAGGTCTGTCATCACGGCCCAGAGCGGGGCAGCATAAGCAAGCACGGGAACCACTTTTGCCTTGAACACCTTTAGGGCCGAGGGAACATGCAAAGCTCCATCCGAAAAGAAAAATCGGAGGAGCGCATATATCAGAGTTTTGGCCTTATTAAGTAGGTGTTGAATATGTGCTTTCCACCCCAAATTGTATTGAAAAATAACTCCTAGGTATTGAAATTTTAGGACTTGCTCTATTTTTGCTCCACCAAGCTTCCATTCGTATAATCTCCGACTTCTGGCGAAAATCAGAATCTTAGATTTAGCATGATTGATGGTTAATTGGTTGAGTTGACAATACGTGGCAAAGATCTTCAGAGCTCTGGTTAGTCCAACACGTGTATAAGATAGAATTACCGCGTCGTCCGCATATAAAAGGAGTGGACAGCGGTAATCCGCTAGTCTAGGCGCATGTGTACTTGGAGATGAGTTGACTAAGGGTGCTCGCATGTCGCTGATGAATAGATTGAATAGGCAGGGGGCCAATATACATCCTTGGCGCACTCCCTTGTTTATTGGTATCGAATTTGTGAGGTCGCCCGCAGGGGTAAGTCTCACTCTGGCAAGGGTACCTTCGTGGAGCTGACTTATAAGCCATAAGAGTCTTCTATCGATACCCTGTTTCGCAAGTTTCTCCCAAAGAATATTTCTAGGAACGCTGTCGAAGGCTGCCTTAAGATCTAAGAAGGCAGCGCACAGGTAGCCCCGGGGAGGGGAGGAGTACTTCCGTGCCAGATGGTAAAGAACTATCGCATGATCAGTTGTAGAGCGTTTAATTCTGAACCCTGCTTGTTCGTGGCCAATCTGGTTAGTCTCATCTACCCATCGCAATAGTTTCGTCAGCAAAAAGCTGGCATAAATTTTCCCTATGATCGAAAGGAGGCTGATGTTACGGTAATTTTCCGGCTCCATTGGGGAACCTTTTTTATGAATTGGTACTATAATGGCCTCCTTCCATATTTTGGGGATGATACCAGAAGCGTTGATTGCGTCGAAGGTTTTGGCCAAGATGCCAGCCCACCATTTTGGGTGTAGTTTGATGGCTTCAGCCGGGATCAGGTCGGGCCCTGGGGCTTTGCCCGATTTCAGCTGGGCTATTAGCTTGGCTATTTCGTCAGGATCGGTGGGAGGCCAAATAGGTAGGTGGGAAAACAGATGCATCAGATGGTCGGAGGGAGCATCTGCCTGTGAGAAACATTTCTTCAGGAACAATTCCCATGTCGGTGCAGGGATGACTGCCCTTGGGTATTTCCTCACCCTTCTGTTAATCAGAGACCAGAATTCCCTGGATCTATGTGATTTTGAAGCAGTAATCAAGGCCTGCCAGCGATTATGTTGCCACTCACGTTTGGCAATTTTCTGCGTGCGTTTGTAAACTTGCTTGGCTTGTGCATAACTAGCTGGCAGAGTAGATGCATCAGAGGTCTTATATACATTATATATAGCACGAAGGCGCTGTCTTGCTTGTTTGCACTGAGAGTTATACCAGGGGGCACCGTAAGTATACTCGCTTCGATTTAATATTTTGGGTGGTAACCTGAAGAAGGACGTGAGATCAGTCGTATGATGGTGGAAGCGTTTCAACACTATGCTATGCTCGTCTGAGGCAGAGCCTATGTAGGGATAGGGCCCGAGGATTTCTTTTGAAAGAATTCCTGATACCTTTGAGCCTGGGTCTCCGACCATTTGATTCCTCTTACTTGGAGAGATACGTTGGTTACCATCTGGGTCGCATGTCTATAGGCCTCCGACTGCCAATTCAGGGAAAGCTTGGCTACAAGGGGAAGATGATCACTAGATTGTACATTCTCGATCTTAAAGGTGGAAATACACTTAAGTAGATCACTGGATACCAGCAGGTAATCGAGGACGCTGTTTGATTTAACACTCAGGTGAGTGAAATCCCCTGGAATATCAGGGAGGCATGTGCCATTTAGGGGACCAGATTTAAACGGATGGCCATTAGGTAGAGGAATACTCCAGCCTCATTAACTCGTTGGTCTTTAGAAGTTCTCCTCATGATATGTTCCAGATCGTAATTATCAAGGTTTGGGGTAACCCACCATTTGGCTTTGGTCAGCGAGTCCCAATTTGCTGCTGTGCGGGCATTAAAATCGCCACCTATTATGGCCGGGGTGTTAGGAAACTTGACATAGCATGAGAGCAAATGCTCTTCTAGCGAGCCCCATTTAGAGCCCAGTTCAGAGGAAGAACCCCGGGTGGCAAGTAAACATTTGTAACTAGAAGTGAGATCTTTTCCCCCGCAATCAGCCCGGTAAGGGCGTAAGGAGGCAAGGCCTGTACTAGAGTAAATTTAGAATGTAAGTTGAGGGAGATGCCTATTATTAGGCCCCCTTTAGGGCGGCCTCCTTTCAGGGAGGGGCAGGCAGGGAGTTCTAGAAGCTCAAAGCCATTTAGATCAATTCTCTCTACTTCCCACGATTCTTGGAACAAGATGATATGAAACAGGTTAATATACTCCAGGAATTCTGGGTCAAGTTTTTTCCCCCTCCAGCCCGCAATGTTCCAACTGAGGACTGATAGGGGAGTTCCTGTTGTAACCAATTCGTTGTCATTTCGGGGAGGGATGGGAGTCCTTTGGAGGCAAGGCAGACCCCACGAAAAAGTCAGTTATTTTACTTTGCATAGCAGGCACCTGCTGAAGGTACCTAGTCTTGAAGTTGGTAGTGAGGTATTCTGACTGGGGCGACAAAACGGGTCTCCCGCTGGCTATCCCAAGGGCGGACACTGCAGTGGGAAACTCCACAGGATTTGCTGAGACTGCCCCACCGCAAGGTCTAAAGATCGCCGATGAAACCATTTGGTTTATATGTCCGGTCGGGTCTTCAATCAAATCCGGGCCATTTTTTGATGTAGATGGGACACTCCCCTGACCTAATGCTGGCAAAGGTACAGGGGATGTTCGGCGTACTGGTACCGTTTGTATGTCGGGTCTATGCTGCTCAGGGGAGTATGAGGACTCCAGTTCCGGCATTGATGGATTAGATGGTAAGGAGTTGTTTTGGTGGAAGGAACTCTGAGTTACACTCCTCAGCGGGGGACTCTTGGAGGGCGAGTCAAAATTTATCAAGAGTTGGGATGAGGGGCCAGCTTGAGAGGCAAAACCTGGTTCTGCCAAGCGTCGGTGGGTTTTGCCCACAAGTGGGGGAGGCATGGGTTTAGGAGCTGGACTAAGGTATGGAAGACTTCCTGCTTCCTTAAACCACGACTCCGAAAAGCTGGCAGAGTTATCCTGAAAAGTGGGCAGGGCTTTTCCGTTCTTCTGGACATGTATGAGCTGATGATTAAGTACTTCTAGTCTATCAATTATTTCTTGTTGTTCTCTCGGTGGAAGGTCGCCAAAGGTGGCTAAAAGCTCTCTTTCCTCCGGCGGGGTCAGAGAATTACTTGCGCCAGTGGGTTTCTTTAGAGCTCGTGGGGACGAAGGGTGAGTCCAGTTTCGGTGCGGATGGATATCCTCCAGGAGAGGAGGCTCGATGTCCCGAGGTACTCCCGACCTCTCCGACAGAGTCCACTCCGCACCGTGACCAGCAAGTAGGAGGGGTGGATCATGCTATCCATAAAAACTCTTGTTGGGATGATATCGTACCTTGCCAAGAGTGGTTTCTGCCTGATGATAGCTGAAGGGATCCTTGGAGAGTAAAACGCAAGCATCACTTTCTGTTGCCCGAGGTGCTGGTTCAAAGGTAATACTGCAATGAGATCGCATTGTGAGATTTCTATGTTTAGGAGATTGCTTAGGTGCTTTTAACCCCACTCAGAGTAAGCCACCTTGGTGACCCTGCCCCGATGTTTAGGCAGATTTTCTTAGGTTGCAGGGACAATGCTTGATGTTTCAGTGCAGGATTTGGTTTATATTTAGGGATCACACTTCTTTTTTTTAGTAGAAGGCAAGGACCTCTGGCACTTCAATTCCCCCGTATCTACAGTTGGTTTAAACTTTGACCAGAAGTTATCCATTTTCTGTTCGAAGTTACATAACTGGGAGGCTAGCACATCAATCTTCTTGAATATGCAATTAAGGGTTCTGACCACAAGATGGAGATGTTCATGTTGTTCTTGTCTTGCGCAGTCCTCAGTTCCAGCGTCCTGCACCACCCTCAATGGGACACTCCCTCTTCCTCCAAGCTTGCCGTCCACAGTTTTAGTCTGGGGAAAGAATAATTCCTCTGGTGTTGACGTTGTTTCTGGAGACATTAGAGGGTAGAAACGGTTCTGAGTTTTCACCCTATAGCAGAGTTCAATAGGGTCACTCCGATTGTCAGACACGGGGGGGTCGATTTTTAATTGTTTGGCTCTTGGGGAGGGCAGAGCCTCGTCACAATCCCTTAGGCGTTTGCCTTGGCCCATCGTTATGAGTCTTTTAAAATAGCAGTGCTTAAAAGATAATAAAAGGTAGTAGAAATAGAAATACAACTGGATGTGAGCTGGCGGAAAACCAGTAAGTCGAAGGCTGCTTCCAAGGCTGCCGGAGACTGCAATTATCTGCTCATTAAAGCTGATTTACGATGCGGACTTTACAGTTATTAGCAATGTGAACTCCTAGCATGGGCTCCAACACCCTGATACAATCTTCAGCAAAAACTTGAAAGGCTGGGAGCCACAGCGCAAATTTTAGGGAGGATTCGAAATGAACTCCGGCAAATGCGTCTTACCTCGTCGCCATCTCCGCCATCTTTCCAACAGCGACAATTTTCGTGGAGTGTATTAGTCGGTGATTTGTCCAGCAGTCATCAGCACTCATCATAGCTCTGGTAAGGAGCACATCACATCGATCTTTAACACGGACAATAACATAGTCTTAGAGGTGCCAATGGTTTGACCAAGGATGCCTCCATGAAGTTTTAAATTTATTTTTCTGTCGAAAGAGTGTGTTGGTAATAACAAGGTTGTGCACTGCACATATCGTCAAAAGTAAGATTCCTTTATGGTTGCTGTTGCCAATTCCTTCTTTCCCAATAGTCCCAGGCCACAGATTGAAATCTTGCCCAACTCTTGCATTAAAATCACCCAGCAGGATAATTTTATCTTCCTTTGGCATCTCTGATAGGATGGTATCCAGCTGAAAGTAAAAAATTTCTTTATTGTCTTCATCTGCATCCAGTGTTGGTGCATAAGCACTTATAATAGTAGCCTGTTGGTTTTTGGTGAGCTTTATTTGAAAGGTTGAGAGTCACTCATTAATGCCGGTAGGGACATCTGACAGGAGCTTCACAAGATCGTTTTTGATAACGAAGCCTACCCCATGTATTCAATGTTCTTGTTCAGATAGAGCTTTCCAGAAGAAAGTGTAGCCTCCTTTTTCTTCCTTCACTTGTCCCTTGCCTTCTCTTTGAATCTCTTGAAGCGCTGCAATATTGATGTTAAAACGTTGCAGCTCTCTTGCAATGATGGCAGTTCTGTGTTCAGGATGCTCACTGTCTGTGTTATCTGACAAAGTCCATATATTCCATGTTCCAAAGTTCAATTGTCTTTTACGACCGCTAGGTGGTGACCCCACTGGGTGTGGTAATCCAGTCAGGGAAAAGGGGAGGCAGACTATGTTTAGGGCACCTTTTCTAGCCCCTCCCCGTTTTTGGGGTGAGCAGAGTGGATCCTAAAAAGGGCTGCTCAGTCATGGATACAGCTGCTAACCTGCTCAACTGCCTCTTTCCTTGAGTCAGAATGACTGAATCTGTATCCACCGCCCATTTGCTGGTTCATGACTAGGGGCTTCCAGATTTCACGATCCTGCCCCCATTACCATTTGCTGATCGCCATGGGACTTTGGGGGTTTGGGTTGGGTTTTTGGAAGATGCCTGTGTGTGAATTTGTTTTATGTGTGTGGATCAGTGCACACTGACCAATGCACAGTCTTCGTAGTAGGGCTCTGTTCTGATGGCATGAGGTAGTCACGACAAACTGGTAGATTCCTATCTGCTGCAGCCTTCATCTGCCTTCACAGTCATTGTAATGTACCGCTTGTTATCATCCGCCTGTTCTGCCGTTGAGGACTTCTTGGAGCATTCTTTGTCTAGCTCCTTCCCTTTGACCTTACCGTCTTGGGTGAGGTGACCCTGCTGGGAGTACGAGATTCCCTACGGCTTCACTCACAAGGGTCATAGGAACATGCAAGCCCACTCACAACAACAAGGTGGTGA